ATCGCCCGCTCCATTCTCTCTCATCCTTGCATTAGATTTTGCTACTGTACTTGATTGCTCCTATTCTGATGCATAGCCTCTTTGGTAACCTGCTCTTGTATCTTACCTACTTATCCTAAACTGCTTAGTATAGGTTGATTAATGACCCATCAATGACCCCTTACCTTGTCATTGTTGCCCCCGCTGGATTACCAGATGACTCGATCAACGTTATCGACGTCCATGGCCAGATACATCACATCACCCCCCTTAGTTGTACTACTCTGCAGAGTTACTATCGAGTGCCGAGGGTGATACCTTGTCAGTACTTCTGATGTTAACCCTGTAGTGTAGCTATTCAGTCATGGTCATCAAGGGTGATTCCACCTTCACCACTTTCGATAACAACTCTGTCATGCAACCCTTCAAGTGTAGCCCATCGAGGGTGATTCCTCCAAGTCAACCTTGACGGTTACATCGAGTGGGAATCCATCGAGGGCGATTCCTCGGGTTTCCCCCTTGCTGTTTTCAACACACGGTTACTTTGACTTTACAACAGAACCATGACTGAAGTTGGGTTGGCACCGAGGGGTACCCGCGAGAGAAATGTGAAGTCGGGATAACCGTGAGTGTACCCACTAGTTGATGTGTACTCGGGTTGATTTGGAGGATACCCGCATGGCCGGTCATTCTTAGTCCTTGCTGTAAGTCCGTGAGACGGGGCGACGGGACCACATATCATGGATCATGGATCATTACCGCATGCTCGCAAGACACTAACGTTTGGGTATATCATCCGAGTAGGCCTCTGGCCTTTTTCGCACTGACCACCACGCGGGAATAAGTATGGGCACTCTGCGTCGTACGTATCAGCCGAAAGCTCTTCGGACGTCAGCAATGGAGCGGCGCGCGCCGGGTTGGACTTGAATGCTTGCACTTGTATAAGGGGGCTAGGCCTGCTCACCAGCCACGTACGCAACGTGCAGGAGTGCTAAGGGTGATGGGCGCAAGACCCCTGCGCGCTTAGGATGTAGATCGACATGTTGGCCTCTCTGTTGAGCCTAGGTTGGACTGCGGTGTGTTGATCGGCCGAGGCCAGTCAAGACCTGATGGTGTGTCCGGCCGGAGTTGATAGAGCATGTTGGGTAAGTTTATGCA